CCCCTGGAGAGCCAACTGGTCACTAAGACCAGGTGTGGTGGTGCATGCCTATAAGCCCAGAGACAGGGAGGCTGAAACAGGAGGATCACTATGAGTCCCAAATGTATAACAAGGCCCTGTATCAAGTATATAAACTTCCTAAAAAGTACAATTTTAAAATACATGTGTCTTGGCATTCTTGAAAATTGAAGCTGAACAATATGTCTTCTACTCCTTATAGGACTAAGTTGCAAGATCAAGATAATATTAACATTAGCGTGATCCCTTAAATTGAAAGATTTCAGTTTGGTTGTTCTCACATTTTAATTCAAGAAATTTGGTATTCAACTTTCAAAAAATCAATCAGATATTTTTTCTTTTTTTAGTAAGGGAGATGAAAAGAAAATTTAATTCTGAACAGAATAATAACATTAAATAGACTAGCACCTTAAAAATAATTTCAACCATCAGTAATTTTTTAAGACAAAATATTTAAATCTGAACCATTCTTTGTACATAACTGAAATGTCAAACATTTTGGGGAAGATTTTAGCACTTATAAATGACTTCTCTGGTGTTTTCACTCTGTTTATTAGGAAGAATGCATTCTAGTATGTCTTGTCATTTTTCTGAAATTATACTTTTGGTTTACTCAATCCAGCTGAGCTCCTTGATAAAGCTGTGCCAGACACCCCAAAGCCTTTACACTGCCTTGTAAAGCCACAAAGAATTCCAATTGTCTGGGTGTCTTGGGTGTTTCTCTTAGTAAATATAGACCAGTATTTGGGAGTTCTCTCATTCTGCTGGAGAAAATGAATAGGCCATTCTGTATGCTGGTATAATAAAGACTTCTATCACAAAGAATAAACAAGTAAATGAGGGGCAATAAACTTAATTTGCACATTAGATATGCTTTTCCAAGTTCCGACATTTCAGTTGAAAATAATGCTGAAGCAATGAGGCCTATAATTGAACATCCAAAACTTCTCCAGTGGGGAAACAAAAACAAATGTTGCCTGCGAACAAGATCATTTTTATAGCCTGCTGTTGCTTTGCTTTTTAATAATTTTCCAAATGCCAGATCAAATAATTTCCTGTTTTATTTGATTTTCATATACCTCTTAGTGCATGTATGCAATGTAATTTGCATCAAAGTCCTCCGAAGTGCACACCCTCAAACACTTCCTTTCGATTTTCTGTGCCTGTGGAACGTGTCCTCAAATTACACTGGGCTCCTCACGAGGATCTGGCAAGGCTGCTGCCTACTAATTGCACTTGCAACATTGGAATGGAAAATTGCCTTGTCCTGCTGCATTAGTGATGTAGATGTGCAGGGCGGATAACTTCAAAATCCTCTTAACACAGATAAGCCATATCAGCTAAAAACTAAGCTGGCAAATATCCTACTCTTGTAACTATTATCTTTTTACATGTTATCTAACAACAACATTTCTTGCATGGCTGGGGCTGATAAGTAAATTCAAAGAGAGATGATTGCTTTATCAGCTTTAGTACAATTTCCCATTTGCTCCTGCCACTCTATTACAGTTATGGTCACTATAAGTTGACTTTGTCTTAAAAAAAAAAATTCTATTTGTCTCTGTCATGATAATCAGATGGCCATCATTCAGGAGAACTAGACAATCATGTGTGAAAAAGACAATCATGTCAACATACACAAATATTGAACAATCTGAACAGCAAGGAAATTGGTGAAGCAATACACACTAATGTAATACTTTCCTAGACAAAAGCTTCAGATTTGAGGTTATAAAATATTTTCTTAACAGTGATATTTTCAGCATTTCAGCATAAAAGGGAATTAGAGACAGTAGTTTAATTAAGAAGTGGTGCATAACAGACACAAAGATAAATAAAGCAGTTTCTATAAATGTTTTAGCCATAATGTACACACAATAGTTATTCTGATTATTTATACATTTGCATAATTAAGTATATACCCATTTAGATTGTGCAGGGATTCTCTCACCGATGGCAAAAACAAAGGAGCCAAAATTCTTTAAATAGGATATGTGTATTTCATGAAGGTTAAAATACAACTAACACAAATTTCCTTTCCATGTTTAAATATAAATGAGTGAAAATAACTTCATATGATGTATACTGACGTCACTTATATTAACAAGCATCATTTTGCAGATGTAAACTACACCTTAATGCACATTATAAATACCAGAACAGGGAGTTCTGCGTTTGAAGTCTTCAGAATGTGCATGTAGCTTCGTATTGATCTCTTTACCCTGGTAAGGTAGTTGATCTCTATTAGAAATGGATAACATGAAAGTTTAGGATTAGGGGAGCAAATGCACTTAAAAATCACTTTCCTTACATGATTTAATTTTGGCCAAACTGTTTCAAGAAGTTTAAATTTTGAAAATTTAAATATGTTAGAATTTAGAGCAAAAGTCAGGATGGAAATTGTCCTGGTCTGTAAAGGAGTGTAATCATTCATTCACTCAATTAGTGTTTATTGGTCACATATAGTTCCTGACAGTGTTGTGAGTTCTGTGGTTCATCATTGGTTAAAGCAGACAGAAATTCCTATCCTTCTTATAGTTCTGTTCTGGTAAGGAAGGGAAGACAGAAAAGGTAAATTATATAGTGTAGTTGAAAATAAAAACCACCACTGCAGAAGAAAGACATATGAACATAACAAATAATGTAGATTGAGATTGAGATCTTTTGTTTTAGCCTTAACAGGGAATACTAAAACTAAGTCATATTTTATATGTACATATATTTAAACTGAATAATTTAGTCATTTTTCTCCTTTTTAAAAATGTATTTGGTACAGATTCTCACTATGTAGCTGACTCATGATCCTCCTGTTTTCAGCCTCCCCAACACTGGGATTACAGATGTGTGTCCCCAAGCCCAGACTCCAGGGCTGGCTCAGTGATTCCAGGAGCAGTGTCAGTGCAGCATGTGGTGCCTGGATCAAACGCTGGTCCCTATACTTGCCTAAGCAGGTGCTTAGTCTGATGAGCTAACTCACTCACCGTGTATTTTTCCTCCTTGTAGAGAGACACCCCCTGGGGGCATTACGTGCTTTATGAAACATCCTACAATGCTAACCAATTTCTTTCCACTTTAAGGCCAAGAATGCTTTCTCACAGAAAGTATGGCAACATAACTGGGTCTGAATCATAAGTTGTCTGCAGAAAAATGCATAGTCTAAATTCTCCTAGATTTCTCTAATAATATTTATGTAAGTTTTGTATTTTTCTAGCACCAATTGTTACTAGACAATTAGTAGTATGATTCCAAAGAACTATGAAATGCATGAAGAGAAAGATTTAATTCAGTTCAATCCATTCAATCCAATGTTTTTTTTTGTGGTTCTCAGAGGAAGAATTGCTTAGTATCATATTAGCAAAAAAACAGTGGTATGATATTTGAATAATGCTAGTATAAGTAATCACTATTCTCTAACAGTGATGATCTTGTCTTTCTTATTTCATATTTTAATGTCCCTGGAATTTTCTATACATGGGAGACTTAACTAACAAAACTTAGGATACTCTAGCATGTCTTAATTTATTGCTATAATAGATAAATGTATACCACCTACACCTTAATTTAAAAACTATAATAAATATCTCTCATTCTATTTTAGACTTATTTCTTTCAACATAAAAATTCACACTTTTGTGTATGAATATTGCAGAAATTATCTGAGAAGTACCCTATTATTGAATAAAGCCATACGATACACTGTGAAACATCAAGTCCATCTCATGTTTTATCAATCACATTTCTCCTGAGTGTTTCAGAGAATTGTAGACGTAATGTAATATGCTTGAGACAAGTTGGCAGAAATATCTTCCAGGGATAAAGGTGGCTATTTCTTTTCCATGAAATGGTTTAAATAATAGTTGAAGTCTAAGAGCTAACTACTTTTATTGCATATATTTATTTTTAATAGAAACAATAAAAAAGCATCAATTGCTAAATTTAACCATTTGGGTTTAATTAGCCACTCAATCAACTTTATCAAGACAGTAATTTTTGTCCATGTGGGAGGCATAAAATGATAGAAGTAACACGACTTCTAGTAAACATACTAGTTTTATGAGCTGAGATTCAATATAATAAAGTAACAAAAATGGAGCATAGATAATTCCAGTACTAATTGTGTCCCTTGGTGATAAGTGTAGGTACATTTGAATTGATGCTAACTTGTCTTAAAAATAGAGTAGGCAGTCCTGCCATCCCAAATTACACAAGTTTATCTGTGTACTCTGAAGGGAGTGTAATAATGACTCACATGGACACTATGATTTTAATGTTTTGTCTTTAGAAAGAAAAATGCATAGTTAGAGTCACTGCAAGAGACTGTTTCACTCCCTATGTGCCTGCAGGTAAAGAAATAATGAACCGGCTATGCATTTGGGGTCCACACATATAATATATGCTCTTTAAAATACATGTATTATATGCTGTATACAGTAACAATACAGCTAATGAACTGAAGTATTTTCATTTTGCCAAAAATATGTGTCCCAAATTTGGAAAAAAATTTTACCTCCATTTGTAAATATGCATATTGGGTGACAAACACAACCATAGCCACCTTCCCTATACAAGCAAAAATGTAGTCATTTTCCTCAAAGTTGTAAATAATAAAGTTCATAAGCTATACAAAATGACAACTTCTGCGTGAATTTCAACCAAAAGTACATTATACAGTGACTTTATCAAAATGTCCATGACCCCATTTACTAATGCATTCATGAGCATCCATAGATATGAGCTGTAGGTTTTAACTCTGCCAAATTATACACCAATAGCATTTTCAGCTGGCAAAGTGTTAATATTTCCCATAGTGTACTACTAGCAAAGCATGTATCCTGTTATTGAATATGGCAATGTTAACTGAATTTTTAAATTACCAAATTATATATTTTACACATAGCCTAAGATGTAAGTTTGATATTGGTAATAGGTGCCATGATACTCATGTCTCATCAAATGAAGCACAAATATAGAAAATAAAGTACCTTTTACAATAAGACTGCCAGTATTCTTTGCAATGCCGAACTGATTTGTGGCTATACATGTGTAGGGTCCAGCATCTGATCTGGTAACATTATGTATTTTGAGGCTTCCATCCTCCAAGAGAAACACTCTAAGAAGAAGATATAGAATCAGTGCAAGTAAGAATATTATAACTGCTTATTTTCACCTTCAAACATTACTAAACCATGAGTACACATAATAGTATCAATTTCTTGTAAATGTTCTAGTATAATTCAACTTACCATTGTTTATTTCAGTGCTAGTTCTTAAAGGTATAATATCAAATTGACAAATAAATAAAAAAGTAACTATTTTGAAAAGTCAACCACTGTTGAAAACTGTATATGACTTCACTGACATACATAGCAATTTTCACATTGTTTAATCTGAAGCTTTTTGAGTCTGACCTTATTAGGCACTTTCAGTGAACAAAAAACAGGGTTCCAAACTAAGATGATAATTTCAGGTGCAGAGAGTCACAGCAACCATGCTCATAGCTACATGGCCAAAAGGCTACACTTATTAGGCAGATACCTCAACCCAAGGGACCAAAGAGAGTGGAAAGGTAAAGGATTCATAGATAAGATGGCATTAGCAGTCTTTTATGCTCAATATTTTTATTAGTATAATTGTCAGTATAAATATAGCACACATTGATCTCCTTTTTTATATTTTCATCCCTTCTTTTCTCTCTCCCTCACCCCCACGTCCCCTTCCCATCCTTTCAAGGAGCCAAATGATTGATCCATTGATCCTTTGGATTTTTTTGTCTCAATTTCATTAATTTCTGCTCTGATCCGTGTGGTTCATTGCTCCCTATTAATTACAGATTTTCTTTGTTTTTGTTTCTCTAGGACCTTCAGAAGTAAGAACACTCTATTATTTTAATGTGTGCATTTGCAGGTATCACCTTTCCTCGTAGAACTACTTTCACTGTGTCCCAATGTTTTGGTATCATTATACTCATTTTTACTCTAAAGTGGAAAAATGTGATAGGCATCATCTAACTACATGTTAACATCACCAGCAATGGAACATTGTGAAAGTAAACAATAGCACTTATGAGGTATTTCCCATACAAATGTAAAAATGAGGATAGACTATCAGATAGACCTAATCTGAAGCACACTGGGGAGATTGCTCAGTAGAATAAGCGCTTGCTTGTCTGAGTTCAAATCCCTGGTTCTACAAACATATTTGTAGAACCAGGGATTTGAACTTGTACTCTTTAAACATGTTAAGTTCATCAAAAATAGAATAAACAAAATATAAGCAGTAAGATTAAATAGCTTAGTGGCAAGCACAAGAACCTGAGTTCAATCCCTGGTTTCACAAAAAAAAAAAAAAAAAAAAAAAAAAGGAGTGATATCTATCTAACAAGTCACAGTGTTTCATAAAATGGTCTCTTTACATTTTCTTTACAACTCAAAAGTAGTCTAAAGTAAACTCAAAAGTAAATCAACATAATCTGTAATCAAAGAAAACCACAGGATTGATTTTTGGAGAAAAAAAAATCATCATCAAATGATGAGAAAAAGGGAATGATATGGAGAAATGATAATATTTGTCCACGATTAGACTACTTATATATGATTTGCAAATTTAGTTATCAGCTTTGTAAAAAACAGAGCTCTGCTAACAACAGTGGGTAGTCTAGATTTCACCAAAATAATTGATGATACACTGTTTTTAATAACTATCACTTCAAAGAAATGAAAGGGAGACAATTTGCATGCATATCACATCCATTAGCATTAACAAAGTATTTTTGTTGCATTGCAAACATATCACTGTTACTAATGTGTGTACAACATGAAATCTAGCTAATATAATTAATTACCCAATTTGAAACACAGACAATCTCTGCCAACTACAATTTATATGAAACAAGCTTCTGCTGTTAAGCTTATTATTCATGAAGGATTCAAAATTCTAGTGTTGGGTGGAAAAGGCCACATCTGGGATTGAAAATGCTCCATAGCACGTCATCAGATTTTTTAAAAAAGAAACACTATCTTAGACTATTGTTCCACAGCAGATATTTCATCTCTTATTTATGTCTGAAATGTGCAGCTTAAGAGATCCCGATTTACATTAAGACTTGAGTTAGCGTCATATTGCCACAGAAACAGAGGCATTCTGGTACACAGCAGACTCTTAAAACTACTTTATTGGACTTAATTTTAAGAGGTCAGTTGGAGAACACTAATGTCTATCATCTATAACTCTGGACAATATTATCTCTAGCAGCATGAAAACATTGAATACTGGTCAATGAAACCCAGATTTTTATTTTTTGCCAATTTTTGTAATGCAACATATGAGAGAGGACATTGAGAGCTTCTTTAGAAAGTAGCACAAATAATGGAGTAAAAATGTTTGAAGAGAACGAAATAATTTTGTGGGGGAATAATCACAACACACTTTAAAATTTTAAAAATAATTTTATTGAGAAACAAATAGCCATGAGAAAGTTTCAAAACTGATTAGTAGGACAATTTCAATAATTAATACATTGTATGTTGTTGTCTTCTTAGTGGTTATTCATAGGACAAGATGCAGACATGATATCCTGTCCATAAACACTATTAGTACAAATCTGTCTATTCATTGAATTAAGAGAAAGTAGCTGTATGTCTATCCTAACTATTTTGAATATACAGATAAAAAATGGTCCTTCTTTTGTATTCCCTTTTTTTATTTAGTTTTGTCAGAGATGGCATTCCATTGTCATTTAAATATTGTAGGTGCGTGAATTCAGCAAAATAATCCAATATAATCCAGTAGTCCATAATAGTAGTGGGTTATCTGCAGGACTGGCAATGTCAGAAGTTATTGACTTGAGCCTTTTACAGCTCACCATATTAACATGGCTTTATTTTTTATACTTTGTTTTTATACTTTTCTGCTGAATGGTTAAGACCAAGATAAAGCAAGACCAATATAATAAGAAATGTGACTTCTGTATCTGCCAAGATCAGTCAAATTCCCTCAGGATTTATCCTGAATCCCTGTACTGCAGTGTGTAGATCCTTTGTGAGTGTCAGCCATGTGGATGAATCACAGCCATTGCTTGACCAGTTTGCTCTCTGTGAAAGCCTGAGAGAATGTTTTCTCTCCATGTGACTCTCCTTAGGCTCACTCTACATCATCGATAACATTCCTCTGTGGTCCTATAATCTCCTTGATCAGAAAATTTGGGATACAACTGAGTTACATGAAGTTACAGTCCAGGTTCCCCTATGTCCTGAGTCCTCACAGACCTTGAAAGGCCAGGGACAAAATGGTGGCTGTACATGCAGCCCTTCTTTTTCTCTATAAATTTTTGAAAAAATATTTTAACATTCACCATATATTTTGATCTTTCCTTATATGTAGCAACATAAACATAGGGAAAGAAAAAGAGAAAATGCAAAGTTAACACGCACACTACCATGTAATTGACGTTTTTGGTTTATCAGAAATTTCATGTAGGAATCAATGGAATATTTCAATTGATAGCTTTGATAACTTTCACTGAGAAAGATAAAAATTGATATTTTTATTCTTATTTTGGAATCTTCACAAAGAATATTTGAGTAAGTCAAGACATATCAATGAAAGATATCAAAATAGTCTTAATCTATATTACATATAGGTTCCACTGGCATTAAAAATAAATTATATTCTCAGTAAAAGTGAGCTTAGCTATTTATGAAAAAAATTCTGGTAATAAAAAGTAAAAATTTCCTTCTAAATTAGTAAAGTGTATATAACAACAGGCAATAATATAGTTGTCAATAATATGATTGATTTCATATTATAGTTGTAATTTTCATATTAAGATTTAACATTGGAATTATACTACTAATAAACAATAGATTGAAATTGTATGCATAAAAATATGCAAACACCAAGAAACTACTAAGAGATTCCAAAATTCAATAGTAATGAAATGCATGATGGGAATTGAGGAATACTAAATTTTTTACTTTCTTAATTTCTTCAGCTAAATATCTGGTATGTTTAAAAGTCTATATCAGATGTTACAATAGCACAGTGTATGGTTGTGTTAAATACTAATGTCACTTTTTCATGATATTAAATCTCAGTGGTCAAAATTGAAGGAGGTTATGATCTACTGTTGGGAAGCTAAGCTGTGCAGGCTACTATTTATGTCATAAACTGTAACTCATTAAATCCTTAAGACAAACCTCTGAGCTTTGTATTGTTCTATTTCACATTTTATAAATCCAGAAACAGGCCTGGCAAAAAGCAATGGGTGTATGAAAGGCCCCACTCAGTAAGCTAGAGAAAATATCCTAACCACATCTTTCTCTTTAGACCAGAAAGTTCTTAATTTTATCAGATTTTTTTTTTTTTACTTTAAGTCCCCAAAATATAGTCAAAAGCTATTGTTGTTAAGACCAGCATAAAGATGTGGGGGGGTGGTATCTATGACATGAAAAATTCTATCTGCATATACTGATTTTTAAAATTGGAGGTTCTTCATTTAACCTTCAGAGAGTTGTGCAGCTCTTTGAGATGAATCACTTGTGTGTCTGCATATATGTGGAGTAGTTCAAGGTTCTTCACTTTTTGAGGTCATAAAGACAAGCTGACTACTGTACTCCCAGGTTAAGTCTTTTGACATGAAATAATGATGGCACTGCAAGTACTGTGGATTACTTCCCTTCTCTTATCCAACTACGGTGTTATTAGCACAGTGGGCAAGAACACGGGCTTTGGAGTCAAACAGCTGTGACTGAATCCTACTCCCCAAATTTAAAATTTGTGTGACCAGAACCAAGATAATTAACAGTCCAAATGTTCAGATTTGTCATGTGTGACATGGGAATGTTAATATTACTTGTTTCCCAGAGTCATAGGATTAAAGGATTCAATGATGTAAGTGATTAACACACTATCTGACTTCTAGGCTGAAGGCAGTAGTAGATAATTTTTAATGAACAGACTTCTGTTATGTAAGAATGTAAGCACTTCTGTAGTTCCACTAGGAATATCAGTAATAGAAATAGAAGAAAACATTTCTGTCATAGCTTTATCAAAGATGCCTGAAATACATATGCTAGGATTCTGTTACATAATTTTGGTGGATGTAATATTTAC